CAGTTCTACCAGTATTACCAGTTTTACCAGTATTACCAGTTATCAGTTTCACCAGTATTATCTAGTTTCACCAGTTTCACCAGTATCACCAGTATCACCAGTTTTATCAGTATCACCAGTTTTACCAGTTTCACCAGTATCACCAGTATCACCAGTTTTACCAGTTTCACCAATGTTGATTGGTGATTGGTGATTGGTGAAAATTGGTGCACCATTATAGTTTAGTTTCACCTGCAACTCTACTACAGACCAAAGATTCATAAAAGTCATATGGCTATTTGTTTTGGTTGCTGAAAACTCATAAAAATCAATAATGTGAATTCTAAAAAATTATTCTATTTTACTAGACAGAGGTATGTTGATTGTCTCAAACCTAAAGATCTGATGCAGAAACATTAGGACCACGAATGTAATAAACTAAAGACTAATTTTAGAAAAGCAAGAATTATACAAATAGCTTATCGAAATTATAAGAATAGACCTGAATCATTAGCAACCCAAGCTTGAAATACAATGAAAAATGATGGTACTTCTGATAATGAAAAATTTTTAGGTTTAACTCGACATCAAGTAAAAAATCCTCAGACTCAAGAACAATTTAATCAATAGCATACTAAATGGATTGAATTATATAAAAATGATCCTATGATGTGCAGTTCTATTATTAATAGACAATATGAAGAATATTATATTCCAGATAATTGGATAGATTATAAAAAGAGACAATTGCATATTAGATTCCAAAAGCAACTCTTAGAAATAGAAGCATAGTATTTAATCAATTATATAACTTATTTATATATATCTATTTAAAATAAACCACCTGAAGTATTCCTGGGGCTAGTACTTTAGACTTTATTTCGTTATCCCTAAAGACTAGTAACATTTTTTACTTTGATTTTTTATCAATATATATTCCATATTTTTTGTATGCAAACTTTTTGCATGCAAACTAATAATCAATGTTTTATCTTGATTACAACCTCATTATAGCGAAACTTTCAAAAAGTCTAGTCAAGAGAACATACCACAGGCTTTTACACCACTCTAGATCCCCTGTCACATCAGAGCAAATTTTTGAAAAATATAATCGAATTGAGAATTATTTGTATCATACATTAGAGGTATATGAAAAAAGATTAAATAGAAAGCATAAAAAACAAATCCAAATTATAGATCCACTTGAAAATTTATCGTATAATAACAAAGCTAGTATTAAGACACATATAGACATGATTAACCAAGAATCCCAAACCCAAGATACTATTCTGATTTGTTCATATGATCAGACATATAGGTGTCCTTGCTTTGCATGTGAGGATGAGATCAATCGCCAGGTTAAGAAAGAGGTCAATGTTTTATTTTAGCAATTATTGGAATATAATGAAAAAACTTTTGATAAATTTATGCGAGAAATTACTATAGAGCATGAAAAGCGGGTTAATGAAAATAAATTATGATATGAGGTTGAAGAAAAGAAGATAGAATTGCAAGAGGCAGAAAAATTTCTAAAATATCTGAAATCACATAAGATTTAAGGATGTATCCCAACCCAATCTAATAGCAAGTAGATTATCTACTGCCTTGGTAAAATCAAAAACCATGAATTCTCGATCCTGCAAATACTTATCAATAATCTTGAATGCTTTTTTGGATCATCTGTATATTAATATACGATTCTACTAATATCGTCTCTACTACCCGATCCCCGAAATAGGTATAAATATGAGATATTTTCACAAATAATTTTAGATGTTTGTGTATATTTCTGACTCACATATATAGGTGAGATATTTTGATGTCGACCACTAATGAAATAAGGAATAATTCGTTCTTGTACTTTTTTTGATTCGGCACATAGATCCTCAAATACAACAACTATACTTCGCTCTGGTAAGAATTTGGTTATATCTGGAATTTTATCTGGAGATATCATGACATTCTCTCGATATGGTTTAGGTGTATTCGCAAAAATCTGAAAGCTATTTTGTACAAGTTGCCATTTCGGCTCAAAATACTTGCCTATTAATATAAGATCATCATTTTTGATATAATAATTTTCTTTCTTACCTTTAAACATGCGTTGTAATTTGTTATCAAGCATGAGATTTATAACCATGTTAGTTTTTTCACTATTGGATCTGCCACATACCAGTAATCTGAATGGGGTATCTGGACTAAATTTGTTGCTTTTTATTCATTCTGAGGATTTTTTAGATGTCTCGTCGATGGCATATACAAATATAGGCATACCTTTCTCTTTCATTCTGATTGAGTTAATTATTATATTAGAAAATAAATTGTATATGTATTCTGCTCTATATAATTTGCATTTAATCACGAATAACTAGTAATTTAGTACTTTGAAGTTTAATTTCAGGATTAAAACTTTTTATACTTAAAATTGTATTTCTTGAAACCTGGTCGCAATATATAATATTAAGTTTCTGAAGATTGTGACGTAAATTTATAATAGTATTAATAGTTGTATCGGTAATATTACATTGTTCAAGAATAAGTTCTTGCAAATTGGGACATAATTGTAGTAATATACAAATAGATTCGTCAGTTATATTCTCCCGTTCAGATATATTAAAATATTGAAGTTTGGGACATAATTCGGCAATTTTTTTTATAGATAAGTTTGTAATTTTACCACCTTCAGGACCTTTACCTTCAAAAGAAAGACTAAGTAAATTAGGATGCGAGCTTGCAATTTCTATTATTTCACTATCGGAAATATAATTACAATTAAGTAGGTGAAGATATTAAAGTTTTGGCGATTTCTTTTAATGATTTATCGAAAATTTTATATCCACCTATATTAATATATTCTATTCTTTGGCATTTTCTTGCAATTTCAATTAATGATATATCTGTAATTTTTTTACAATAACTTATATGTAGATATGCTAAATTTAGACATGTTGCTACAATTTCACTAATAGTTTCGTCACTGATATGCCAATATTTTCTTATATTTTCATATAATCTAAGATAGATCAAATTAGGATTTACAATTTTCTCTAAAGTCTTGCTAGAAAATTCATAACAACGAGCTATTATTAAATATTGCAAATTTGAACACTGATCTCGAATTTGATATAAGGTTCTATCAGATATCTTGCAACCAGA